GTCAATGAAGAGCACTGTAGTTATGACATTTGCTCCTCTTTCAGTTCAATTTGACAAACATTTACTGGGGAACTTTATGTGCCAAGCAATGTGCTGAGTCTCCAGGTGACACAGGGATCTGTGATATATCACTTTCATCATTTAGAAGTGATATAAGCACATAGACAAATATATGTGTGTGTGTGTGTGTGTGTGTGTGTGAGAGAGAGAGAGAGAGGATATACACCAAATAATTAACAGTAGCTATTTCTGGGTAGTAGGATTACAGGTATTTTCATTTTCTTTTCTTTTCTTATCTATATTTTCTAATTTTTCATATTAAACATTAATTACATAGTAAGACAATTTTTTAAAATTATAATAAAGTATGATTGATATTACAATAAAATTATGAATAAAGTACACAATTATAACCCTCTCTCAAGTAATTCAAGAAAGATTTCCTATGGGATGTCTAAAGTGGATTTTGAAGAATGAATAGGAGTTAACTAGGCAGATAATGAGGAAAGATATTCCAAGAAAAAATAGTACGGCATATTCAGGAAGGTTTAGGTAGTTAATCACTGGTGGAGCTTAAAGATAAATAGGTAGAGAGGAGATGGAGATCGAGAGAAGCCACCTTGGATACCATAGTAAACAGCATGGATTTCTTCTTAAGATTATATAGTGGCTGAAATGAAAGCTACATTGACAAATGGCCACTAAGGTCTAGTAAATAGAGTTAGGTAAAGAGACAAGAGGGCCTCTGCAGCCATGATCTATTCCAAGAGGTAATAATATCATAGGTGACACATTGGCTGGAATCCTGTATAAGAAAAACTGGCTTAGAAAGGAAGAGTTTGACTAGATCATCTTTAAGGTTCCTTTCAAAAATCAGATTCCATGATTCTTTGATTTTTGGTCCCTAATGTCCCTGCACACACTCCATTCAACTGCAGTTGAAGTCCACACACTTTGTTATCAATGCTGTATGGTAGATACTTTGTTGAATTTGCAAAGAGGTCTTTCTGCAGTGTTTAGAAACTCTGGCAGGTGGGGCTGATACTCACTCAGATTTGGGAAATGCTAATGCAATCGCCAGTCAACATGAGAGGAAGTGAGAAGGTAAACACCTGGGAGGTGCAGATGGAGGTGGAGCTGGGCTTGTTTGGGAGTGAATTAGGACATCTCAAAGACAGCAGCTCCTCCCTAGGATGGACCATTACTCTCTCTATAAAAAGGCCACTATCCCCAGCTAGCAGCACCCTGTAAGCTGCTTCAGTCTCCATCCTACTTGTTCCTCTGGTGAACTAGGTAAGTGAGCAGGAGTACTTAAGGCTCTAAATTATGAGAATCCAGGATGTGCTCTTAGGCAGAGAGGCACCAGATACCAGGCATCGTATTAAAATATTTTGGGGGGCCGGCCCCGTGGCTTAGCGGTTAAGTGCGTGCGCTCCGCTGCCGGCGGCCCGGGTTTGGATCCCGGGTGCGCACCGAGGCACCACTCCTCCAGCCATGCTGAGGCCGCGTCCCACATACAGCAACTAGAAGGATGTGCAGCTATGACAGACAACTATGTACTGGGGCTTTGGGGGAAAAATAAATAAATAAAAAATCTTTAAAATATTTTGGGGAACTTTGGTATAAGTTTAACTTTATTGAGAAGGAAAATGAAGAGATACCTAGGACTGATAGTACCTCCTTTCTTTGGGGTCATTTCCTTAAAGATCACGGGAATCTAATGATCCACTAGGCAGGTTGTCTCCTTTACTACTGAGCTTTTTCTCTCTATTGAGTAAGCAGTAAAGCCTGAGGGTCAGTCCCTGCTTGGAGAATGAAAACAGAAGCTGAGCCACTGAGCCTGACAGCAGCTGCCCCCGCTCCATATCAGTGAGGCCTGTGGTTGGCTTTGCCTACTTTGTCTACTTTCTCTGGCCTAGAAGTCATGAGGGTCCAATTTAGTCACTGTGCCCCTTAGTTGGAGTCGGGCATGCCATGTAGACAATGGATCTGTCCCTCCCTAATGTGATGACTGGGACCTAGAGAGGAATCGAGGAGATAGATAGATTGGTCCACTCAGGACTTCTACAACTCAAGAAAAAAAGCTTGCGGGGCTGGCCCAGTGGTATAGTGGTTAAGTTTGCGTGCTCCACTTCAGCGGCCGGGGGTTCACAGGTTCGGATCCCAGGCACAGACCTATGCACCACTTATCAAGCCATGCTGTGGCGGCATCCCACATATAAAGTAGAGGAGGATGGGCACAAGTGTTAGCCCAGGGCCAATCTTCCTCAGCAAAAAGAGGAAGATTGGCAACAGATGTTAGCTCAGGGCTAATTTCCTCACCAAAAAAAAAAAAGAAAAAGAAAAAAAGCTCATAAAATTATCCCTGGTAGAGGCAGGGAACCCAGAAAAGAAAGTCATTGTTCCTATATTCATTCAGGAATAGAAACAAGAGATTCTGTTCCTAATTTCATCACTTTCTTGCTACATGGCTTAAACAGGTCATTCAACTCTGGATTGGTTCTTGATTATAACAGGATGAAATTAATCATGCCTGATTAATTTTGAACAATTACAAATGATTGAAACTATTTATGTATTGAAGCAAGAAAAAGGAACAATAAGAGGCGGATCTCTCTCCTTTTTTCCCCTTTAGGTTAATCAAATTTACAAAAAGATGCCTGAACTCCTACAAGGCATTGTCACTGTCATCGAAGTTTTCTACCAATATGCCACCCAGGATGAGGAGTGTGCCATGTTGAGCAAGGCAGAACTGAAAGAACTTTTGGAAAATGAGTTTCGTCAAATTCTGAAGGTAAGAACTCCATGTCAGGACTGAAGACAGCTGCAATTCTCTTCTTCGCCCCTTCCTAACTTTTTGTCACAGATGTCAAACTCCTAGAGGACTCTCCCTAGTTGGTGATAGAGAACAGAGTTTGGTAAAGGCTTGGAAATAAGATCAAAAGTTGACCCATATTGCTTTCCATAACATGACCAAGGGAGTGATTCTACTAAGTGACAGACAAAATTCATAGATTAAATAATGTCCTATGTGAGCAGTAATTCTTCTGGAACGGAAACTGAGATGGTCCTCAGAAAAACTGCAAAGTATGTGAAATGCATCTTCTTGCCTTTCTTTGTCTTTCTTCAGCCCAGAATGTCCTGACCACTGCCTGCTCATTTCTGATATTCTGGTACTATAATGCCTCTGAGTTCAGAAAATTAGCATCTTACTTCTAAATGATAAAATAGGATAACCAACACCTTAAACATCAGCTATAGAAATAAATATTTGGGAGTTTAGATCTAGCTCTTGATCTTCAATTCATTAAATCCAGCTGCCTACTGAATATTTCTATTTGGATTCCTATGGATGTCTTAAATTCAGTGTGTCAGATGCAAAATGCATCATCTTCCCCTCTAAACTTTCCTTCTCCTCTTTGTCCAAAGCAGAAATCTGGGGCCATTCTTAACTTCCTCTCTCAGCAGGCTCCCCCACCCTCCAACCTCCATCAAATTCATCAACAGTCTGTCAAAACAGCCCATTTCTCTCCATCACTATTGTTAGCCCTCTGGTTAAAGCCACCTCCTACTTCTAATCTCAGTGTTAGATGCAAATCTAATCATTTCATACTCAACTCAAAATCTTTCAACAGCTCCCAGCTCTTAAAATAAGTCCGAAGTTCCTTAACATGACTTAAAAGGCATGATCTGGTCCCTATTTATCTCTCTAGCCACATCTCTTGACTGAGACTCTAAATTGAGCAACCCTGAATTTCTTTCAGTTCCTTGTATGAGACATGAGCCATGCCTTCTCTCACCTCCAGCTCTTTGTTTATATTGTTCTCTCTTCCTGGAACAATATTTTGATCCCTCTCTCTCCCTTCCTGTCCCTTCATTTGGCTAATTCTAACCCATCCTTCAAAAGACCACTTCTTCTCATTAACCTTCCTTGAACCCCCAGTGGTTCCCCCCTGGTATACTCTCATAGAAACATTATCACAATAAATTGTAATTTTAAGTTTGTGCGTCTAGCCCACTAAGCTTTAAGTTCCACCTTTTCAGGACTCAGACTCATTCACTGCTTTATCCCTGCACCTAACTCAATGCTAGGCAGATAGTAGGTGTCCAAAAAATTTTTGTTGAATGAGGAAATGAATGAATGAATGAATTAAAGGGTGGACAAATTAAAAAAAAAAAGTCATATATAACTAATGCAAGTATCCAAAATTATTATTTATAAATTAGCTAATCATTCATATTTGATCCATTCCTTACAAAAAGTAATTGATTCCTTTGTTTCTTGTCAGCTTCCAGTTGCATCCTCTTCTAGCTATTTCTCACTGCATTATTCACTGCATATTCCTTTCTCTCTCTGTGCTCAGGATAGAGCAGTCCAGCCTAAAGGACTATGTGGTTGAGCTCCACTTAAGTAAGCCAAGCATTTACATTTCTACAGCCTGCTTTCAACTGGTTAGCTGGGTATGTGGTCCATACTGACAGAGCTGCCCTTTGTACCTTGTTCCTATGCAGAATCCAGATGATCCAGACACTGTAGATATCATCATGCAAAGTCTGGATCGAGACCATAACAGGAAAGTGGATTTTACTGAGTATCTTCTGATGATATTCAAGCTGACTCAGGCTTGTAATAAAATCATCGGCAAAGATTACTGCCAAGCTTCAGGGTCAAAGCAACGAGACCACAGTCACCGGCACCAAGAGGAACAGGGTGAAACAGAAGAGGAGGACAAAAGGCAAGAATCATCTTCCAGTCATTCAAGTTGGAGTGCAGAAGAGAATGATTCTGATTCCAGGGGCTCCAGAGGAAGCACTCAACACAGGCCTGGGTCCAACTCCAGAAGAAGAGGGCATCAAGGAGGGTTGTCTAGTTCTGGCCACAGGCAAAGCTCTGTGGAAAGAAGGAGAGAGTCAAGTTCAGGGAGTTGTGGAAGACAAAAGCATGGCTCTGGATCAGGCCAATCCTCTAATTACGGAAAATATGGGTCTGGCTGTAATCAATCTTCTGGCCAGAAATACCATAAGTCTAGGTCAGGATCCAGTTTAGGTGAGTCATCAAGCTGTAGACAACATGGTTCTACTTCAGGTCAGTCCTCTGGCTTTGGACAACAAAGGTCTGGATCAGGTCAATCTAGCTATAGCCAACACAGATCAGGCTCAGGACAGTCTTCTAGCTATAGCCAACATGGATCTAGATCAGGTCAGTCTTCCAGCCATAGCCAACATGAGTCTGGCTCAGGTCAGTCTTCTGGCTTTGGGCAACATGAGTTTGGCTCCAGAGAGTCTTCTGGCTTTAGTCAGAATGGATCTAGCTTAGGTCAATCATCTAGCCATGAACAACATAATTCTACTTCAGGACAGTCATCAAGCTATAACCAACACGGACCTAGTTCAGGTCAGTCTTCTAGCTATGGTCAACATGGAACTGGCTCAAGGCAGTCATCTAGCTATCACCAACATAGGTCTGGATCAGGCCAATCTTTTAGCCACAGCCGACATGGGTCTGGATCAAGTCAATCTTCCAGCCATAGCCGACACTGGTCTGGCTCAAGTCAGTCTTCTAGCCACAGCCAACAAGGGTCTGGCTCAGGTCAGTCTTCTAGTTTTGGTCAGCATGGGTCTGGATCAGGTCAGTCTTCTGGCTTTGGTGAGCATGGATCTGGTTTAGGTCAATCATCAAGTTGTGGACAGCATGAGTCTGGATGTGGTCAGTCTTCTAACCATGGAAAACACGGTTCTGCTTCAGGTCAGTCCTCCAGCTTTGGACAACAAGGGCGTGGATCAAGTCATTCTAGCTATGGCCAACATGAGTCTGGCTCAGGTCAGTCTTCTAGCTATAGCCAACGTAGGTCTGGATCAGGCCAGTCTTCTAGCCACAGCCAACATGGGTCTGGCTCAGGTCAGTCTTCTGGCTGTGGGCAATATGAGTTTGGCTCCAGAGAGTCTTCTGGCCTTAGTCAGCATGGATCTGGCTCAAGTCAATCATCTAGCTGTGAAAGACCTAATTCTACTTCAGGACAGTCATCAAGCTATAACCAACATGGACCTAGCTCAGGTCAGTCTTCCAGCTATGGTCAACATGGAACTGGTTCTAGGCAGTCATCCAGCTACCACCAACATAGGTCTCGATCAGGCCAATCTTTTAGCCACAGCCAACATGGGTCTGGATCATGTCAGTCTTCCAGCCATAGCCGACATCGGTCTGGCTCAAGTCAGTCTTCTAGCCACAGCCAACAAGGGTCTGGCTCAGGTCAGTCTTCTAGTTTTGGTCAGCATGGGTCTAGATCAGGCCAGTCTTCTGGCTTTGGTGAGCATGGATCTGGTTTAGGTCAATCATCAAGTTGTGGACAGCAGGAGTCTGGATGTGGTCAGTCTTCTAGCCATGGAAAACATGGTTCTGCATCAGGTCAGTCCTCCAGTTTTGGACAGCAAGGGTCTGGGTCAGGTCAGTCTAGCTATGGCCAACACAGGTCTAGCTCAGGTCAGTCTTCTAGTTGTGGCCAGCATGGATCTGGCTTAGGTCAGTCTTCTAGCTACAGCCAACATGAGTCTGGCTCAGGTCAGTCTTCTGGCTTTAGTCAGTGTGGGTCTGGCTCTGGTCAATCCTCTAACTATGGACAACATGGTTCTACATCAGGACAGTCATCAAGCTGCAGCCAGTATGGATCTAGCTCGGGTCAGTCTTCCAGCTATGGCCAACATAGGTCTGGATCAAGCCAGTCTTCTAGCCACAGCCAACATAGATCTGGCTCTGGCCAGTCCTCTAGACATGGCCAGCATGGGTCTGGATCAGGTCAGTCTTCTGTCTTTGGACAGCATGAGGCTGGATATGGTCAATCCTCTAGTTATGGACAACATGGTTCTGCTTCAAGACAGTCATCAAGCTGTGGTCAATATGCATCTGGATCAGGTCAGTCTTCTAGCTGTGGCCAATACGGGTCTGGAGTAGGTCAATCTTCTAGCTATAGTCAACGTAGATCTGGATCAGGACAATCTTCTAGCTATGGCCAACATAGGTCTGGCTCAGCGCAATCTTCTAGCCATAGCCGACGTGGGTCTGGCTCAGGTCAGTGTTCTAGCTCTGAACAATATGGGTCTGCCTCATGTCACTCACCTAGCTCTGGGCAATGTGTTTCTGGATCTGGTCAGTATTCTGGCACTGAACAGTATGGGTCTGGTCCATGTCACTCATCTAGCTCCAGACAATGTGGTTCTGGATCTGGTCAGTATTCTAGCTGTGAGCAACATGAATTACAAGGGAGATGTAGTTCAAGTTCAAGTGGAACTCATGATGAGTATAGTAGACCCAAAATAGGCTCAACACCCAATCAATCAAGAAGAAACAGCCAAGAATGGTCAGGGTACAGCCAAAAAGAAAGAAGTAGGAGTTACAGCCCATCAGGTAGTGAGTCTGATAGATATAAGAGTATTCATGGACAATCAAGAACATGTAGGCAACAAAGCCAAGGATGGAGCCAGGGTCAGTGGGAATCTGGCTGTAGCCACTCAAATGGTAATGAAGGGCAATCAAGAAGCAGTTATAGACAAGTAGAAAGCTCCTCAAATTGTGGCTCTGGGCAATTTACTCCCTCCTATGAACAGTCTAGATCCAACACTACCAATACATTGTTAATTCACAAGGAGGATAATAGACAAGGTCGCTATTACTATCAGAGGGAAGGAAGTAACAACTATGGAGGGGGAAGTATCAGCTCAAGTTCCCACAGTTTCCGAAGTAGCACTCCACTCTATGCATATGTCCAAGAGCAGAGGGGCTAATACTAGGGATGAATAAAAAATAGAGGTGAAATTAACTCAAGTAGCAAATTTAAGAAATAAGTAACTATTACAGGCAACCAATTCATTATAAAACTTCTTTCTAAAAGTGGATGTATCTATTTCTATCTTTTTCTTTTAAACATGTAACTACTCTATTCCGTGTTAGTGGGTTCCTTCCAAAAAATGCAGGGTATGTGGGCTATTTTGTTAGGAAATACTAAGTTGAATAAATAATGTGTGGGACTAAATTTGGAAGAAAAATGCAAAGCATTTAAGGAGCTTGGTGTTTAGTTGAGGTGTCTTTTTGTGTGTGTGTGAGGAACATTAGCCCTGAACTAACATCCATTGCCAATCCTCCTCTTTTTGCTGAGGAAGATTGGCCCAGGGCTAACATCCATGCCCATCTTCCTCCACTTTATCTGGGACACCGCCACAGCATGGCTTGACAAGCTGTGCATCAGTCCGTGCCCGGGATCCAAACCTGCGAACTCCCAGGCCGCTGAAGCACAGCACACGAACTTAACCGCTATGCCACTGGGCTGGCCCATGAGGTGTCTTTTTGAGAGCTAACTATTCATTATATGATGCCATAGCTAAACTTGCATCCCTAAAGAGCAAAAAATTATAAATGCATTACTAGTTCTATAGCCAAAACTACTCTTACAGCAACAAGGACCATAATTTTTGGTGTGCCCCACGTTAGATGGTGGCAGAAAGAAGAAGGCTCTAAAAGCAAGATATCACGTTGGTAGTTTCTTTGCTTATCAAAACCACCAAGCCCCTATTCTTAGTTGCATCTATGATTCCATTTATATGAAACTTACTAAAGACAAACATAAAAATACAAATTAGATCAGTGGTTGACGAGGGCTGGGAGTAGAACTTATGAACTTATGAACTGGCTGGAAAGAGGAACATAAAGGAACTGTCTAGGGTGATAGAATTATTCTACACAGAGATATATTTTTGTCAAAGCTCATAGGATTGCATACTTAAAATTGATGTATTTTATTATTTGTAAATTATATCTCAATAAAGTTGATTTTATTTAAAGTCTCCACAAGGCTTTTCGTGAAATTTGACACATTAATTCTAAAGTTTATAGAGAAGAGCAAAGAATCTAAAATGACCAGGACAATTTTTAAGATAAATAAGGAGGAGGTATGTCATCTTATCAGATATCAAAATACATTACAAAGTTACATTGGTTATGACAGTGTGGAATTGTTATAAGGACAGACATAGAGCAATGGAACATCCAGAAACAGACCCATGCATACTTGATATATAACAGTAATGGCTCTGCATATCAGTGGGGAAAGACAAACCTTTCAATAAATAATGCCAAGATAATCAGTTTCCATATTTTAAAAAAATTATATCTCCATTTCATACCATATATAAAATCAATTCCAAGTAAATTAAAGACCTAAGTGTGATAAGCCAAATTTTTTTAAATTTTAAAGAAAACATAGGAGAATATCTTTATGACTTCAAAGTAAGAAGGGATTTCTTAAATAAGAAATACAAAAACCATGAAAAAAAAAGTCATGAATTTTACTACAATTAAATTCTAAGTGTCTGTAAATCAAAAGACACTCTCAAAAAGGAAAAAAGACAAGCCACAGAGTAGGATAAAACTTCTGCAATGCCTACAAACAAGTGATTAATAGCCAGATTGTACAAAGTACTTATAAATATCAAACTGAGAAAAAAAAACAGTGAAACTTAAAAAGAAAATTCACCAGGGTCCGGCCTGGTGGCGCAAGCAGTTAAGTGCACGAGCTCTGCTGCGGCGGCCCGGAGTTCGCCGGTTCGGATCCCAGGCGTGCACCAACGCACCACTTGTCAAGCCATGCTGTGGCGGCGTCCCACATAAAAAGTGGAGGAAGATGGGCATGGATGTTAGCCCACGGCCAGTCTTCCTCAGCAGAAAAAAAAAGAGGAGGATTGGCAGATGTTAGCTCAGGGCCGATCTTCCAAAAAAAAAAAAGAAAAGAAAATTCACCAAAATAGAAATCTGAACGGCCAAAAGGCATTTTTAAAACAATGCTCAGAGAAACAGATAATTAAAACACAATGAAATAGGGGCTGGCCCGGTGGCGCAGCGGTTAAGTGCGCACACTCTGCTTTGGCGGCCCAGGGTTCGCAGGTTCGGATCCCAGTGTGCACCGACGCACCGCTTGCTAAGCCATGCTGTGGTGGTGTCCCATATAAAGTAGAGGAAGATGAGCACGGATGTTAGCCCAGGGCCAATCTTCCTCAGCAAAAACGAGGAGGATTGGCATCGGATGTTACCTCAGGGCTACTCCTCCTCACACAAAAAAAGAAGAAACAAAAACACAATGAAATACCATTTCATAACCATCAGATTAGAAAAAACTAAATTCTGGCAATATCCAGTTTTGGGGAGAATATGGAGCAATGAAGGTTTGAATTGGTAACCACTTATAAAGCAATTTGGCAACCACACACAAATCAGCAAAATGTTGCAAACAACTTAAAAGTTCAACAGAAGAATGGAAAAATAAATTGCGATATATCCATATACTGGAATACTATACAGCAATTAAAATCAACGAGGTAGAGGGATATATATATACACACACACACACACATATATATATATCTTTCAACATGGACAAGTCCCCAAAATATAACATTGAATGAAACAGTTAGCCTACCTCTTTCTCTTCACTTCTTTCTGCTGCAACACGATGGTTCTTACGTTCTGGGGTCATAACAAAGAGAAAAGAAAGACTATGAAAAACTTGGCTTAGCTAGATCTCAACACGGACAAATCCCCAAAATAGAATGTTGAGTTAAAAAGTTGTAAAACATGTATATATGGTGTGGTACCATTTATATAGTCTCACAATATACATAATAATACCCTATATTATTGGTAGTTAATACATATTTGGTAAATATAAAAATCTTTATGGGAATGTTAAAAGCCAAATTCAGGATGGTAGTTGCCTCTGGAGAGATGGGGGAAAATGGGATTGAAAGAATAAACAAGGTCAAAAGTTTTCTTAAGCAAGATGATGTTTATGTATTCCCCACACTTATTCATAAATCTCAAGTTATTTCACAAGAAAAAGGACACAAAGACCAATGTTAGAGTGCCGTCAGTAACTACTCAAGGGAGAAAGTGCTCTGACAAGCTAGTCCACTCGCATATCTGGTCCAGCACGTCCCAGTTGTTGAAATAAACATATCAGCACATCAGTGCCTGATGATATTCATCATCTGAGTCACACAACCAACTATCTGGCTCAGACTTGAAACTCACCAGGGAGCCTTCTGAAAATTTTGGTTTCCTATAATTTTCCCAAAAGGAGAAAGCCTTCACTAGCCAAATTAAGATAGACACCTAGTGTTTCTGACAGTGCTGTAATTTCTGACTGTAAATTAATAAGCTGGCATTCTGGTTTTCATACTTCTGATTTAATTACGATGAAACAACTTTCCTGAGTCTAATCAACTGTGGAACACTGACATGAGTATCTGAGTCTCCAAGGATGAGAACCAAATGCTGATCCTTTTTCCAGGCAATATCTCAACCTTATTCTTTGCCTTTTCCAAATTTCAAGAGTTCAGGAACAAGAAAATTATCCTAGTAAGAGAAAGTGGAACCAGGGGCCAACTTGCTTTAACTATACTCAGTTAGTTGTCTGTTTGCTAAAGTAGTTAGATAATGCATTACCAAGCCCACCCTATAGATAACATCTCCGATGCGTGGGTCACCACGGTAATGGGTGGGGTGCTTCACTTTTTCAGGAACTGAGAATTGCCTCCTGGTCCAGTTCAGGCCAGCTGAGACCACCAACTCATCAACTGGGCCTGTGCAGATGACCAATAAATGACTCTTTGACGTCAAGGAGCTGAAAACTCCACTCTCAGATCATGGTAACACATCCATTTTGTGCACATGCATCCTATGAAGAGGCATGAAGTTTGACTACACTTGTGCAGATCATCAATTACCTCACTTCTTCTCTCCTCCAATCATCTATTCCCACACTTCAGACCACTCAGCCCCCTTATCCCATAAATAGCCCTAATCCCCATTTTGCAGGGAGGCAGACTTGAGAATGGTTCTCTCGTCTCCTCGCTTGGCTGCCTTGTGATTAAACCCTTTCTCTTTGCAAACTCGTGGTCTCAGTGATTGGTATAATCGTGTGGTGGGCAAAGTAAACCTGGTTTGGTAATAAAAGCAAAGAAATTTCAAATAAATGGCTAGTTGTATAGCTTAGCCAAGTTTTTCATAGTGTCTCTCTTCTCCTTCTTAATGACTCCAGAATCAAAGAACCATAGTGTTGCGGTTAAAAAAAGAGAAGAGAAAGAGGTAGGCTGTCTTTTAAGTAGGATCTTAGAGGGTCTCAAATACCTCGTCCAGAGTCTGGATTTCACTTTTGAAGATCAAGAAAGTCAATTTGTTTCGGTACACTCACATGCAGTCAAGCTCTGGGAGACATTCTCAAACTAAGCAAAGTCTTAAGGGTCCAATTTATTAACTACAAGATATATATGCTTTGAGAACAGGAACCAGTTGTCTATCATGGGGTATTTCCTCCCACTGGATAGATTCATTTAACAGATAATCAGAGGTTG